ATCAGGTTGAGTTCTCATTTGTCTGTTTGTTTTTCAGCATCACAACTGGATCGTTAGTTTATCTTGATGTTTATTGACATTTTCAACGGATCTCGATGAGAAAAATCAGCCATATCCAGAGGACGAGTGTCTCTGAGTGTGTCTCATGAAGTCTTGTGATTAATCTATAAATCCACTGACAGAATATTAATCCACCACAACTGAAATTGAAAACATGCAGCGGTTCGAACTTGGAACATTTGATTTTCTGAGTCTTGTGTGAAAGTTAAACTCAATCGATTTGAAGACTTTTTGATTTGTCATCTTTGGGACAGTGTTGATCAAATCTGTTCACTCATAAAAACATCTGAATGTAACTTCAGTTCTCATTTAAAGTACAAATCCCCCCAAAATACCCACTTCACTATGAATATATCAGTACTTCTCTGTATACAGAGACAAATAATCAATCCAGCACCGAGTGACCAGCAGATTATCTTCTGATAGGTCAACAGTCTTAATTAATGATTAATCGTCTGACAGAGTCCATGGTTTGGACACAGAACCAGCTCTGGGTGACAGCGGGACGCAGAGCAGGAGTCTGACCGACACACAGGTGTCCTCTGCCCGCCGCGGACCTCTGAGGACGCCCTGGACTCCGACACGTCACCTGTGACCCGTGTCAGCGGATAGCTCGGTTTAATTCAGCGACTTTACATCGACTGAAGGCGGAGGAGGACACCCAGCCAGAGACCGTGTCAGACCGGTCCGTAGAGAGGCTACTGCCGGGGGATCAGTCGGCTTTAGTCGGTGTGACAGGTGCCGGAGCTCCGCCGGGCTGAGGCAGCGTCAGCGGCCGGCGGGCAGCTGCCCGTTCACCGCCTGGTGTTGACAGAGTTCAGCCTCTTAAACACTCACCCGTGACTCGGACCAGCACCTTCCCCGTCGCCCCGGCCCATCCCGAACCAGGGTCGTAGTAAGAGTTAAAAATGGCGTCGATAATAAAGATACAGGGAACTCGCAGAGCCACGTCCAGCACCGCTAAGGCCTGCTGGCCTATCCGGGCTTGAGTAGACGCCATGCGGCTTGAGTCGGGGCGGCTACAGTCCCGGGGAGCCCCGGTTATCCATGTAACATCCGAAATAAGTCACCGTCCTCCCGCAGCGGCCGCCGCTCCTCCTCGGTGTCGCTCCTCCTGGTGTTTATCTGGTCGCCGCCATGTCCGCCAGCTCAACCTCCTGTTGCTGCTTCTCCTTCTTCTCCTCTTTAATGTCGCTCAGCCTCCATGCGAGGACCGACACAGGCTCCGAGCCGCCGCCGCCCGGGGTTCACCTCAGACCCGCCGCGGTCAGCGAACACTGCGGGGACCCGAGAGAGGGAGAACCGGCCGTTAGCTGTTAGCTGTTAGCCGTTAGCTCAGCTGGAGACAAGCTGCTGGGCTCTTCCGCCGTCACGTAACGTGACGTCACTTCCAGCGTCAGAGGGTGCGGGCGCTGACGTAGCACGTTCGACACTGGTTGCTTAGCAACAAAGTAACTGACAGAACCGTGACCACACAGCTGTTCACACCGTCACAATGTTATGACGTCATTTACACCACAACACCATGATAACGTTATGTTTCGGTGACGAACGATCTGTGACGATGTATCGTCAAACGTAGAGGGGAGGAGCCATTAAACTTTTTACTGTCATACTTGGAAACAAGTTCCAGTACAGGAGGGAACCGCTGCTGTGACGTCATTCCATGACCTCATCGAGACGCCACGATGACATCATTCTTACTGTAGGAGCCTAAATTAAATATTTTTCAATCTAAGAGCTTCAGCTCATGTCATCATTTCTTTAGTTTGCAGAGATGACGTCATTTTCTTACTTCTTCATGACGTCCCTGATCATGTGACATCATCATGCTGATCGACGTCAGCTCTTGGCTCAGCCCGCGGTGTCCCTCAGGGGTCTGCTCTGAGCCCGACTGTTTTTATTCAAATCTTTTCAAGTCAGAGTTCAGTTGTTTTAAGCGATGGGAGTTTGCAGAGAGAAAATACACGGATGCTTGTGTTTTCAACCTAAACCCTTTTTAAGGACAATAAAATCAAAGTCTTTAAATTGAACGGCACAATAAAGCTTCGATCTAAAATAGAAATCTGTGATGTGTTAGTAAGAAAGAGCAAAGTCTCCGTCGTGAGATGCACATCGTATGCTACGATTTTATTATTTAGCCAAAACAGCTGGTATACATAGAAAACAGGAGACAGTTAGTATTCAGGAAATGAACATGAAACTCAAACAAGAGGTGAAACAGTCATTAAAAAAATAATATTAATAAAACAGGTTGCATCACTTCTAACGCCACAGATCAAGTCCGACACCTGCTCTTCACTAAATAATGTTTCCCTCTTAAATGCTTAGAAATGTAACGTTCATGGATTCAGTGGATTGGAGGAATAGCTGTCGTCTTACATTATGATTTGTAATGGGAACATTTTATTGTCTTGAGACGTCAGATAAAATATTTGACATTTATGTGACGTTTAAAAAAATCAGTGGAACAAAAAGAATATGAATCAGACTTTCAGCTAAAATGTATTTCAATTGAAAATGTTTTCATTTAATTCATTCTTCAGTTTTACATGAGCTCAAATAAATCAGGATTAAAAATCGTTTTAATACATTTTTAATCTTGTTACAGGGACAGACACTTCTTCTATATTAATGGGATTTTTTAATGATACTATAAGAATTTGAAGGGTTGTTTAATTTAGTTAATCCAAAACTCCTGAAAAAAAATTCAAAGCTCTAAATCCTAATCCTAAATAAAATGTAAATATTCCTGCTATGGCAAAAAATTGAATAAAGCATCAAGTGTCAGATTGAATCAAACAGATAACACCTATCAATGAAACACATGAGGGAAAGAATATTATATAGAAAATATTAACAAAAATTGAAATTGAAAAATCTAGAGCATTATTCCAAATATGCTGTAAAAAGTTTTGGCAACTTGTCTCAAATGAAAAGTTAAACATTGAAGGGCAGAAACACACAAACAGCTGCTGATACTTACAGCTCAGAGACAAAATGACCTCAACACACACCGACGACTGGACGAGTGATTAAAAGAGATTTTAATAATAATATCCTCTAATTGAAAATAATGTGATTCCTTATCGTCACTAATCTAATGGTCAGTGTGTGTCGGTATCATTCAGATCCCTGATAACACACAGCTCCTCACAGGCCCGAACATTCAGCTTCACGCGCGTTTTTATCGCATCAGCTCCACGATTGTATTCGTAAACCTGGAGAATCCACAGAGCGAATATGAAACAGGCTTCAGTCATCATACAGGGCGTCAAACTGCCGTCACACACAATATGAAACATCAACGATCCCTGAAGGGAAACGGAGCAGGCGAGGGACGGTGTCTAAAATGCTTCCTGGTCCATGAGACCAACTGAGAGGACAAAGAAACGTTTCAGTAGAAAAAAGCTGTCTATATTAAATCTTTAACTAAAAAATAACATGCATATTAAATACATTAGGTTTCATATGCTCAATAGTACAGTTTGGCGATTAAAACCTGGTAAACAACAAATGAAATGAGTTATAATATTCAATTGAATAAATATATAAATCATTTGACTCGTGGTGACGAGTAAGTAGCAACAAGGGAGTTCAGCGTGTTTCAGCTTGTTAAATCAAACACAGGTTAGGTTTTTAACTCAACGGGCTATTTGACATTCAGTAATTAGCCTACAAGCTAACATAGTTTTATTATATATTTGTTGCAGTGACACATTGATATTAATACACAGCAGAGCCTACTGGTGTTCTGTTGTACCTGTTTAACCACAGCTAATATGTGTTAGCCTCGTCTGGGACCAATATGGAGGGTTAGCTTAAACGTCTCGTTGCAAAGGATCTGAAGGATCATTGCTACGTTCTACATCGGAGCCTTAGCTAGCGTCCGAAGTCCATGAGTTTAATCACAATTTAACGTTTAGCAAGGAATTATTTAGCAAATGTTCATGAAAATATTAAACTTGAAATCAAAAGTCTCTTTGTCTACGTGGTGGAAAAGGAAAAAGGAAAAATCCTGCTGTAAAGTTTCAGTAACATTCTCAAACAAAGGGAAAAGTGGAAAACATCTTTTCTTTTCTTTTCCTCATAAACTTGTTCGCTTGCGTACAAATTATATATTTCAGCTAAATGATATTTTAACTAACTCTTAGCCAGCCTGCAACCTAAAACTTAAATGTGGACCTTGTCAAATGCTCTTTTTGAATTTTGTTGAAATCACAAGATTAACTTTTAGCTAAAACTTGAATAGTGAAGTTTTAAAATGTCCTTTTTAAATGTTTCTGGGAGAACATCAGGGAATGAAGCCATAATGTTTTCAGTCGAAGAGCAAAGGGCCTCCAACATGGCCGCCAGAGAGCGTATATAAACCGGCCAGCACTGGACGGTTCGGTTAGTGTTTGATGGCCAGTTAGCACAGACAGTTACGGCTAAAGCTAAGTTGCTAAACTGCAGAACAGTTTTTTACCGTTTAGAATATTTCGTAACATCTTTTACCAGAAACATCTTCTTGTGGTATATTTGGATCAGCCTCCATGTTACAGGGACAGTGAACCAACAGTGTGAATGTAATTTCATGTATTAGCAGCAATTGTGCTACAGTAGTTAGCAGGGTGGCTAGTTACCTGGCTATCTCTGCTAGTTTAGCTAGGTCAGATATGTTAGCTTGCCAATGTATAAAACTCAACATGGGAATTTTGCTGTGTGGTTAAAGCTACACATATCGATATTATTGTGTGAGTGCATTAAAGTGTAGAGCCGGCCACACATTTTGTATTTTACCTAAAGTTCCTGAACTTTTGAGGCATAAAGCTTCAAAATATTATGTTTTTAAAAGATCAGAATTTAGATTTTAAGATATTTTTTAAAGTGTCCGAATTGAAATGATAAATAAATTACAATTACAATTCTTTCAAACCTTCTCGTAGATTCAGAGACGCTATTCGACGCTAAGTCAAAGTCAGGGAGTGTACCTTTAATAAGAGTGTGACAGGATGAAAGTACTGTTACTGTAGTATACTGCCCCAATACTAAAGCTTTACAAGAAGAGTCCATAACTGTACATCTGTGCCAGGTAAATACAGCGCACCATTAGATCACAGGGTTCACTACCACAGACCCATACACTAATCCACATTACTCCAAATACTACGTCTAGGTAGTACCAAGGAACCTGTAGTAACACGAGTACTACCATGGACGTTAAAGTGTACGCTAACACACTCTGTACAGTTGCTACTCTGGTGGTAGGTTCGGTGTGCGGTCAAACTACACACTGACAAACTCACAAATAGTGATTAACGGCAGGAGCTATCATTGGTGGAGTTTACTCCTGATTTGTTGCCTCACAGAAAATAAAAGTCTAAAAAAGCCAAATAATGAACAAATAAGTATTCCTTCAGAGTATTTGATCTTCAGTCAATTTAGCAAGTTGTAGGCCTCCACGTTTTGAGTTCCGCTTTTGCTTACACCTGTTGCACGGACGTTATAAACGATTCCTACGTTTCATTTAAGGGCCACACTGATTGTTTGAACCGGGGTCGAACCTTAAAGAACATGCAGATCAATCTACTGCGTGTCTGCTGTTAATGGCTGCAACAACAAAAAAAAACCTTAGCTGCTATTAAAATGGTTCTATGCCACTCTCCATTCTGCTAACCCTACATATACAAACACTCAGCTCATTAGGAGCTCAGTGTTTTCTTCCAGGCTGTTTTATTCCCTATCAAACACCAAATCTATGTTTTTACAGAAAAACTAATCCAGCATCGTTTCAATTAAATAGAGAATATTTAAGTTAAATTCAGCACGAAGGCTTTTGGCACCTTTAACGGGAAATGGGAGGAGACTATGGGGTGTAGAGGGAGCATATGACAAAAAAACATACAAACACGTCAAATTATAAATATGTATATACAAATCATTTTCTGATCTTTTGAAAATACTCCGTCGTTGTTCTGGTTCATGTTTATCTCTTTGAGTTTTTCTCTACTTCTCATCTATCGTCATTTCTTAAATTAAAAGTCAAATTTAGTTTTGTTTCAGTCGCTTCTGTTACAAGTAGAATTACCTCGTTCACAGCGCTCACACCTTTTCTCTCGTGTGCTGAAGTTGAGGAAATGATCTCGGACCAATGATCCCAGTGGGAAACTCACAGCAGAACTTTACCGAAATTAGTCGAGCGCAATTTGAATTTTTTAACTTGAAGAAGTTTTCAGTTTGTTTCTCCAGCAACAGAATTTGTGACTGTGGAGAAATTCTCAGCCTGAACACGTCTGATACTTTACAGAAGGTTTTATGTTCACGATGAATTTCATTTTCAGAAAAGGAATTTTAGCTTTTCCACACAGTCGTTTGCCTTCAGTTTGTGTCAGAGAAGAAACGTTCAAACTACAGTGAGAGCATATGTATGTAAACTCTGATCAGAGTCTCTGGGCAACTTCTTATTCTTGACATTCACTTGACGTCGTAGTTTTCCGTTTGCTGTTACTCGACAGTAACCATTTTGTGTCCCTTTAACAGTATATTTACTGAAACTCCGTCAGGGACGCAAAATGGCCCAAGTCAAACAAAGCCTTCTCCTCTCAGTGAATCATCGGCGCTGAGCGGTCATTGGTCGTCGTCTTCTTGAGTTTGACTCCTCGCCGTATGGCCACCAGAAAGTCCTCCACCTCACCGTATTCCGACTCTTCCAGGAGCTCTGGGAGAGGCCGGCGCTCCCACTCTGACACCCGCCCACCGGGCTGCGGAGGTGGGGTTGGAGGATCTGACCCCTTTAAGAGGTGCGGGGCGTCACAGGAGCAGGACTTTGGCGAAAACGGCCCGTTGCTGCCTGGTGACAGAGGTGTGGTCGCGGGGCTGAGAGGGGTCCGCGGTGTGTTGCTGTCCTCTGACACCGCTCTGCTGGGGAAACCGGGATGGTCAGGCACAGTGGGGGTCTTGACGGGGATCATGGGGGGCTTGATGGGGATGGGGCCCAGGTTGAGGCCCCCGGAGGGTCGACGCAGGTTAGGTTTGGAGGACGGCGTCCGTCGGATGGTGGCAACTCCGGGGGTGATTACAGCGGCGGGGTTGGAGGGCAGGCCGGCGGTGGAGGCAGGACGTTTGGACTGAAACATGCGGCGGTACGACTGACTGATGTCACTGTTTCTGGGGATGGTGGAGGATTTATCGAAGTCGGACGACTGCTGCTCGCTGTCCTGATCCACTCCAACCGTGTAGTAGTCACAGTCTGAGACTACAGTGAACAGAAAACAAGTTGATCTCAACACGTCTGTCGTCCACGTCTGACAGAACACACACGCCTCTATTTTATACTTTAAACATGTCATTTAACATACAGAGTGTTTTAGCGTGTCACTGTGAGTGTATAGAGAGATGGGCAACATGAACACTCCACCAAGCGTTTCAACCGCCCCCTGGTGGCTGGCTGCAGTATGGGTCATAAACCCAATGTTGTATGATGAATATATTTCCTATACGTTTTAAAAGATGACTGTGTGTGTCTGTGTGTGAGTGTGTGTGTCTGTGTGTGAGTGTGTGTGTGTACCTTGTGAGGGGATGGTGTCCTCTGAGCAGCACGGTGTGTTGGTCTGGCTGCTGTAGCCGCTGGAGCCCTGCAGCGAGTCTCTACTGGAGCCGTGGATGTCCAGCTGGAGACCACGGGCCAGAACTCGGGCCAGCTCCTCATGGACCTCCCTGTCCTCCTGCCACACACACACACACACACACACACGTTATCTCAGACGTGATTGGCTCTCAGTCAGTCAGTGTGAACTGAAATTAACTAAACACAAAGTCATCTGACCTTGGGCGATGTCAGGGAGTGGCTTCCTTTGACCCCTTGTAGCTCCTCCCCTGGTGTAGTGACATCCGCGCCCTGGTGGCTGCTGGGATCTGTAGTCTCTCTCCTGTCCTTGCTCCTCCTCAGGGTGTTGACCATCGGCTGGTCGTAGGGACCTGGTTTGGCCCAGTCCTACACAGACATGGAGGTAAAACAGAGCGTCACGTCTCACCGCACGAATGAAAAACTCATATTTGGTCATTATTATATTTCAGACAATTTATATTTTCTGATATTTGATGGAATCATTTTAGATTTACATTAGATTTGAACAGACTAAAAAACACCAATAAACAGGCTTGTTGGCTCTGATATACAAAAAAAGGAAGGTAGTTGTGAACCTAAGATTATTAATTGATTGTTTTTGATTAATCATTTGTTTAAACAATTGAAACACTAATGACCGACACTATTACTTATAAATAGAATCCTGAAATAGTTCTGTATTAACCTATGACAGCGTCATGGCATTTTGAAGCTGTAGACAGCAAATACTTGGGATTCTTACAAACTTTACTGACAGTAAATGTTTCTCACATTTTATAATTCATGTTATAATCAAGAGAGAATCAAAGTTTTCTGTAAAATGTTATAATGAAAACCAAACAGACGCAATTTATCCCTGTTCGCTTTCAAACTGAGCAAAGAAGGAAAACTAAATTCAAATGGAGTCAAGAAGTAAGAGAACTGCATCAGAAGACGACAGAAGGATAAACTGAAGGAAAGAGGAGGATGACATGAGGAGCAGTGAGGATCAAACCTTCCAGGACGGGATTCGAGATGACGCGACCAGTCCCAGCCCCGGGGGGCTGAGTGGCTGGACCTCTCCTGACTGGCCGGAGCCTGAACGAGACCACGGCCACGTGGGAGAAACAGACGAATAGGAGGGCGAGGAGATGGGAGAGGTGGTGGTGGTGGTGGTGAAGGAGGTGAAGTATGGAGGGTGGAGGTGGGTGTCCTGGGCCTGAGGTGCCGCTCCGTGCAGACAGAGGGCAGCGTGATGGTCAAAACCATTCGACAACTGAACGTGAGTGGATGAGAAAAGAATCAAAACAATTCAAAAAGATGGTTGTGACTGTTGAGGACGAAAAGCTGATGCACAGATTTAAACATTTTACAATAGTCTGAAAGAATCCTCCTGTGTGTGTGTGTGTGTGTGTGTGTGTGTGTGTGTGTGTGCGTTCACATGAAGACGTTCACCTGTTGTGTTGCAGAGCGAGGGTCATGGTGCGAGGGTGAGGAAGATGAGGAGGAGGAAAACTCCTCATTGACAGACTGACAGCGTAAAGGAGAGACGCATGACTGCAGCAGAATCATGCACACACACACACACAGACAGACACACACAGACACACACACACACACATACAGACAGACACAGACAGACACACACACAGTCAGCAGTTTGCAGGGTGCACAGAGAGAAGCCACGACAGCAGATAAAAACACAGAGAAACAGAAGAAGCAGAGGAAGTGCGACAGATTAGTCAGGAGAAAATATAAACAAGAGTCACAGACAGTGAAACAAGCAGCTGCAGCGCAAACATCCGACGAGTTAGATGAAGCAGAAGCAGCTTCAGCAGATGGAGTGAAGAGAAAGATAACGAGCTCAAGTCTCTGATATGTGAAAATAAGCAGAATGGCCTCCCTGTGGTTGAAGCAGCTTCAGTCACATACATTTTTCCCAGACTCATGTGAGGTCACTGGGACCTTTGAAGGAATAATAATATGAATAATATAAAAATGACTTTATGTCTATCGCACTTATCTAAACGTGCTTCACACGGTTCTCTAAAGACTTGAGATGTCCAACAGGTAGAAACTTGTTTTGTGAGGTCACCGTGACCCTGGACCTTCGACCACCCAACTCTAATCAGTTAATCTGCGACAAGAAGCTGTAAAGAAAGATGGACGACACAGGCGGTGCCCGTATCCCAGAAACGGGCGCCGCCATCTTGAGATTACGACGACCAATCACGGGACGGTCTCAGTCCGTCGTCACAGCCAATAGCAGATGATTAAATTACCCACCTGACTTCACACTGCTTCATGTTTATCAAAATTTAAAGAAGCAAAGATTGAAGAAGCTGATACTCGTAAAAATGACCAGATGATTCAAGTTATATATAAATTTTCTGCTAATCGTGTCTGATGAACCTGTGTAACGTGAAGTCGTCCTCCTCCCCAGCAGCTTCAAACTCACCTGTGAGGATTCCGGAGGCATCGGCGAAGGCGATTTGGACTGGAAGGCGTCCTGGGAGATGAAGCCAGAGTCGTGGGAGGAGACCGAGGAGAGGCGGGCCGGTGTCTGCTGGGGGAGCACCGAGGAGGAGGAGGAGGAGGAGGCGCGGTAACGGAAGTGGGAGGTGGGGGAGTGGCAGTGTGAGCCGCTGGAGCGAGAGTCGCTGCTGTTCACACTGTTCAGGCTGCTGTGGGACAAAGAGGACGGGATGTGAGACGCTGCCTGGTTCTGCTCAGATTATATCATTCTCTTCAGAAAGGAAATGTCCTTTTCCCTTTCCAGGTTTTTTTGTGTGTGAGTTTGTCGTGTTCGCTCAGACGTCTCTGGACTTTGTTCAGACGGAAAGTAGAAGGATTGTTCATTCAAAAAATTTTAAAAAGTTTTTTCCTTGTAAAAATAGAAAAAACTATTAGATCTGTATTTTTTCCTAAACACAAAAATACTAATTGATTAAAACATCTCATAAAACATAAAACAGCAGAATTCGTTTCTCAGATCTCAGGGATCTGTTGTTAACTAAACTAAAAAAACATTAAATGAGAATCTCTTCTCTTGGTTTTCTGGGTTTTGATTCATCAGCCCGAATGTTTTAAATCTGAAAAATAAACTGAAACATATCAAGAGCTTCAGATGAAATCGTCTCAGACTCCTCACAAGAAGTGAAACTAGAATTCCAAAGGGCCACAGGGTGGCAGTGTGATGCTTTTTGTAACCATGGTAACCAGTCACCTACCTGCACATGCTGGACTTCCTGGATACCGTGGTGCTCGGCGATGAGGGCGGAGTTTGGTATGACCAGGTACAGTCTGAGCTCTTCAGGTCCACGATGACCTGAGAGAACAAATCAGAAGTTAAATAGAATCGGGTCCTTCGGCCTGAAGATGAAGCCTCAACTCTCCTGCCTGGGACCTATGACCTGCTATGAACTCTGGGAAATGAGGTTCATTCATAAGATTTGGATATTTGATCAGAAAGAGTTCTGCACAGACTGTGTCTTTGAACGCATCACGGAGACAGGTCGGTTCAATCGGAAGAATCTGGATGTTCAGACCGTCGTACCTGCTCGCTGGAGGCGGGCAGCTTGTGTGGGTCCATGGTCAAGGCCTTCAGGTCGTCAGTCAGCGTCTGCAGGTGAGTGATCTCCCCCAACATGGACATCTCCTCCTCCTGACACACAAACACACGGTAACTCCGCATCAGAGTTTGTAGGTGATGACGACAGAACGTACGAATGTCAGACTGAAGTCTTTAGTCCCTAAATCACAACGTGAAGTAAAACAGAACCAATGAAACACGAACACATGAAGCTTCAGACTCTCAGAGAGAAAACGACCTCATCTCTGTGACAGTTGTGTTTTTGTGACATGTCTCTGTGTCTTTTGTCAGACTGACCACCACAGGCCTCAGCATCGACACGAAGCAGCAGAAGCGACTCCTCTCCTCCACCAGAGCCTTCCTCACCGCCTGCTTCTCCGTCTCCTCCAGCAACAGATACTTATCACTGACGTCCTGCATGGCGCTGTCCAGCTGAGGCTGGAGGTCCCCGCGACCTGGACACACACACACGAAGACACATCTGTAACTACACAAGCACTCTCAGACCTGCACTGAAGTCCTGACGTGTTCCTGACGTGTTCCTGACGTGTTCCTGACGTGTTCCTGACGTGTTCTGTATGTGAGAACAAATATCTGAGTCAGTGTCTCTGGATATTTTCTGGATCTTCTCCTGCAGCCTCCTGGTAAAATGTCTGGAAAATGTCGGACCCTAAGATTCTCCTTATTGTGTCGGATTCGACCAGAGTTTCTGTGGCAGGTGATGAGTGGGTGTAAACTTACCAAATACATCAGCTGAGCAGAGCAGAGCATGATGGGACGCCGGCGTAACGGGAGGAGAAAGAAACACGACATGAATTTTAAACTCCTGAGATCACAGCCTTTAAATAACCCTGCAGATTGAATGAACCGCTGAACACTGATAGCTTCATTACAACTGACTCATAGAAAAGAGTTTCCACAGATCACAGACCTTTCTTTGCTTTCTTCTGCAGCTTCATGGTGTCGGACGACTTCTTCTTGATCTCCTGACGAGCCTTCTTATACTCTGCAGAGGAAACACATGAAGATGACGCCAGTGTAGAGAACAGAAGGAAACTGAGCCGTAGAAATCACTCAGAGTCATCAGGGTGGAATTAGGTGTTGGTTAGAGGCCGTGTGTGTGTGTGTGTGTGTGTG